TTCTCAGGGAAATGTAAGTTAAAACACTTTGAGATCCCATTGCACACTCACCAGAATAGCTGAAATTGAAAAGACTCACAACTCCAAATGTTGGTAAGATTGTAGAGCAATAGAACTCATAAATTCTTGTGAGTACATAAAATGGTAGAACACTTTAGGAAAAGGTCTGGCAGTTTCTTATAACACTGAACTTACATATGCTCTATGACCCAGCAGCTCTACTCCTATGTATTTACCTAAGAGAAATGCAGGCATGTGTCTAAGTAGTCTTGTACAAGAATATTCCTGTCAGCTTTTCATAATAGTTTTAAATGGGAAATGCCTGGATTTCTACCAATAGGAAAATGGATATACTCTGTTATACCTGTATGTCATTCATATATAATCACATATGCATACATTCATATATGCTCATGTATACATGTGATGGAATACTTCCAAAAAGGAATGAAGTGCTGCTACAGATAACATTCATGACTCCCAGGAACATGAAGGTGAGGGAAAGGAGCCTTACACAAACAAGGACATGTTGTGGAATGACATTTTTATGAAATTCCAAGAAAAGGCAAAACTAATCTACATTGAAAAAAAAAAAGCAGAAAAATGGAGCTGCCTCTGAGCATGGAGATGGAGTGAACTGTGATTGGGAATGGCCATGAAGGAAGTTAAATGGTAGTGTTGATGTTCTAGATCTTGATAGGGATTTGGGTTACAGCAGTGTACACATTTGTTAAAACTCAGGGAGTATGCTTAATGCATTTCATTTTATGTAAATGTTGCATTAAAACTATAAAGAAGTGATAAAGTATAGTTTATCATATACAAGGTGAATTATTTAGGGGACGTGTACTATGACTCCAGTTTATTTTGAAGTGCGTTATACAACTAAAATGGATTAATGGATGGATATAAAGTAATGAATAGTATGACATAAGGAATATAACAAAATGCTAATAGAATCTAAGTGATGCAGAAGGAGTGTTGCCTCCGGAGGAAGCTCATCCCAGCGGTTCGGTGTCCAGGGTTTGTATTGGGGCTTGACCACATACTGCATACATGCTGACCTTTAGTCTCCACCCAGTTTCTCCAGGGGTCAGAAATGATATGGTATATTCCAAAGCCCCCACTGTAAATCCCGTGGTTAGGCAGTCCAGTGGCCAAAGCCCCCAGGCGAACAAAGACACTCCTATCAGTGAGGACATTCCAGGGACCTAGAGATTTCATCCAAGTAGCCAAGGGCAAAGGCCAATCCTCTCTTTGGGTAAAGTTAATTCATCACTACATAATTTTTAGTTGCAGCCATTCTTGCTTTTTATTTATTACCGTTATTCACCTTTATTATTATTAATTTATTGAGTAAAGGGATGTTGGCTATCCCCAGAATGTCTTGTGATGCATAATTGATTCCACTATTTTTATTGGCCCATAATTTTCCAATAACTTGACTCTGTGACATGTATGTTTTATAATGTACACACGAGTCTTTTGCATATGTTGTGTTAATGCTGTTATATAATCCTTGCCTTCCCTCCCCATTTGCATCTATAGGACACTTTATTATAAATGCCGAGTTCTTCTGCCCTGGAAAGTGAGAACTGGTAGGGAGGAAGGTTATGAGTCTTTCGCTGACTAAATGTGTTAAGGTCACAGTCTTCAGGAACAGGTGTAAACCAGTGGTGGTCTTCCATCTGGCTTTGTGGTTTCCTCTCTTTAATTAGAGTTAAATTACTACAGTAAAAGGTAGGCTTTCTATTATTTTTAGTTTTGGGGGGGGAACTTTTTTGTTCATTGTAACAACTTTTCTTTTACCTTCTTTTACTGTCCCATAGTTTCTAAGTGGAAACTCATCTTTCTCATTTTGTTACCCATACACATGGATGATTGACTAGCCCTGGGGGTGGTTTTTCCTGTGAGACTAAGTTTCTTTATTGGAAGCTCTGTAGGGAGAACTAATTAAGTTTAAAGAACTAACCCATTAGGACTGGCTTGAGGAGCTAGCCTTTGAAGTTAACTACCATTCACATTGCTTGTTACCAATGGAGTTTTGGTACATCACAGGTTCATGAAGTGGGGGTTGGTGGGCCCATGTTCTGACTCAGGTGATCTCCTCTGCAGTGAATCGGTGTTAATACAACAGAGGCATATGTCAGGGCAGTGCTCCCTCAGTTTGGGATTCCAAAGAATAATAAAGGCTCCAAAAAAATACCTGGAGGCTGATATAGCTGGTATTTCTAATGTTTCACTTTCATTTACTAATGCTGATGAAAACGCAAATGACTTCCTCAGTTTTGTTTTTCTGAATTCTAAAACCCTTGTCACTCTTCCAGCCTCTACGCAGGGTCGGTCATGAGAACAGTGCTAGGTGTCTGGCTGTTGGGCCAGATGAAGGGGGCTACAGAGCCCTTCCTGCCTGGCCCTACTCATGTTTAGCCCAGCTCTCCATATCCTAAGATTGATTAGTGAAGAAGTGATCTGAGAGGGTGCTGTAAGAACTTGGTAATAGACCGATTTGAGTCTGTAACCAGGGTTTAGGAACCACGGGGCTTCTTTCTTGATCTCTCTTTCTTAACTATTTGTAGGTGTTTTCCTCTTGGGAATTAATTTTAGAATCATTAAATTCATGGAGATGGAGAAACCTGAAGTGACTTGGCAGTTGTTGGACTATACTTTGCTCTCTTATTTCTGAAGTGTTAGCAGGAGGAGGTTTGATTACTCATATACTATCAAGGACTGAGAAGCAATTTATTCACTTATTTCACAAATGTTTATTGAGTTCCACTAGAAACAAGGAAAATGTACAGTAGTAAACGAGGCAGATTCAGTTCCTGGCTTCATGAAACTTACATTCTAGAAGTTGAAAGAGATTAGGAGATTAATTATTGTGTAATTGCCTAATAAACATTGTAATAATGCTGTGAAGGAGAGTGCATGCTGAAGTAAGAGCATACTGGGAAATGGGGGAAGGCTTCCTTGAGGAGGTGATGTGTAAGCAGAGCGAGCAAGAGATAGCTGGGGTTGGGGTGGTGGTGCAGCAATGTTGACATTCCAGGAGGGGGGAATAGTCTGAGCAGAGGCCTGAGATGGGAGAGAACATGTTAAGTGTTTTTGTGGCTGGAATCGAGACAACTAGAAGAAATAAATAAGGCTGGGGCCATGCCAAGAAGAGTCTGATAGGCCATGTTGAAGATTTTGCATTTTATACTGAGAATGGTGTGAAGGTTTTAAGGGATTTCTAACAAGGTAGTGATAAAATCAGATTAAAAAATTATTCTGGCTGCTGTGTGGAACATCAAAGGTTATGTTAAGGTATTGGAGTAGCCTAGGAGATGATGATAACTTGGATTTGGATGACCACTGTTGAGAGGCAGAAACTTGGGTGATTTGAGACAGGGTTTTCTACTTTTCTATGTCATCGCACACACAAATCCTTTTTAAAAATATCATACTGGGTTAAATGGACAAGGGTGACCCAAGTGCTAAGGGGAATCCATATCCCAGCATAATTGTAGTCCATTTGCAACAGCCAGGTGGTGAAATTCTCTTTTTACTAGATGAGCGTTTGGGAAAAGTGTCAAGGATCAAGGATGAATCCCAGGTTTTTGGCTTAAGCAGCTGGCTTCACAGAAGTGCTTCTGTGATTTAATATACTGGAGAGGAGAGGGGAAAGATCATGGTTTGTTGTGTATATGCTGAGTTTGAGGTTTCTGTAAGTCATTTAAATGGGATATTGAGTAGACAGGTGGTTTTGGAGCTCGAAGGAGTAAAAAATGTAAGCCATAGAGACAGTAGCTGAAGTCACCTAGGGAAATGGCAAAGGACAAAGGCTTATGGAATTTCCACACTTAGAAGTCATCTAGAGGATAATGAGGATAATGAACTAGCAAAGGAGACTGAAAATTAGAAAGTCCAGAGAGGTGATAGAAATCCCAGAAGATTCTGAAGTAATGAGAGTCAAGGGAGGAGAATCTTTAAGAAGGAGGGAGAATTCTGCTGAGAGATGAGAAAATTTTCTGAAAATTTTCCATTGGGTTTAATGACATGGAAATCATTGGTGTGACATAAGAGCTACTATACTGGAGTCATGTGCAGAAGCCAGATGGCAGCCTACAGGTTGTGAGGAGTGAGTGGGAGGCTAGGAAACGAAAGCAGTGAAAAAGCAGCATTGTCAAGAACTCTCTTTGTGCTGGGAAGGAGAAAACTAGAGCAGGGGCTAGCGGTGGGGTGAGAGAAGGATCCAGGCCGTGCTGCTGGTGGTGCAGGACAGTGGGGGGTTTGGGGAGGACTGCTGGGTGGAAAATTAGGAGAGGAAGGGTGGAGAATGAGGAGAGGGAAGGTGGATGCAGGGGAGCGCAGTTTGTAGGTGTGGGGTGGACAGTCCGGACAGTTCCCTGCTCATGGGCTGTTTTCTTTGGGAAGTAAGAGCTGCAGCAGTTGATGAGGATGAGGAGGTAGAATACTTCAGGGGCGGAAGGAGGCATTTGGATTGGTTGTGGTGGAGAGTGGGAAAGTGAGTGTTCTAGAGAAATGTAGGACTGACAGGCGGTATCAAGGCCCTGGCGAAGTCTGCTGCACCGTGTCCTGTTCTTGGTTTTCATTCAGTGGGTCCAGCTGCCTTTGCAATCGTGGAGAGGGCAAGTGATTGCATTTGTCCGTGGGCAGAAGGAGGTGCTGAAGGCGTAGGGCAGTGAGAGGGTTCAGCGAGCCAGGGAGTGACTTCTGGTGAGCCTGGTCTCTCAGGTGGATGTGGAAGGATGTGAGGGCAGGAGGTGAAGGGGATAGGAAGAAAGTAGAGGTTAGAAAACCATGGATCCAAGAAGTTGCTGAACAAACTGGAGAAATAGGAGGTTGTGATCAAAGAGTGAGTGTTTTCCTTCTGTGCATCCCATAGCGATGGAACCTGAACTTTCGCATGTAGAGGGGGTTTTCCCTGGGCAAGGGGGTAGGTTTAAGTAGGTTTACTGAGTCTGCAGTGTTGCCTTTTGCTACTTTTGGTAATCTTGGTTATTTAATATGAGATTTAGAATGGTATCACTTGCTCACGTTTACTTCGTGTACATATGTAGATGAAAAGTTTTTTGTTTTTGTTTTAAAAGCTGTATTTTCAGTGTCATGATGTCTTGCTGGCCTTATGATGGAGCCAAACATGCAGCTCTCTCTTAGCAGGGCTGCAGAATCTGTTAGGGTGGCCGTGCCAGCCAACAAGAATGAAGATGCAATTGGGAGGTGAATTAGGTGGGGTTTATGACAAAGCCTGTGGTGAGCATGTTAGGATGGGTGCTGAGTATAGAGTGGATGGGTGCAGGGTCCTTGGGTATGAAGAAAGAGGGAACGAGAACCTGTCTTGTTGGCCACAGGGATGGACATTAAAGTCACGTGGCTGTGGCTAAGGATACAATGGGAGTGGGGTCCCTGGAGGTGGTTGACAGTCATGAGGCAGAACAGAGGGCCTCAGAGGAACAGGGTTTTGTTGTTCTCATTTTCTTTTTCTTTTTCTTTTTCTAGGGATAATAAGGAAATGATGGGTGAGGAAATTGGTAAAAGCAAGAGCTACTTTCTTCCTCCTCCAGACCCTGGGAGTTAGGGGTACTAATGTAGTATTCTTTTAGTTTGGTCCCTAGACCAGAAGCATCAGATCACCTGGGACTTAGAAATGCCTGTTCTCAGGTTCCACCCCAGACCTGCAGAATCAGAAACCTCGGGGTGGGGCAGCCTTCATGTTTTAACAAGCCCTCAATGACTGGCTTAAGTGCTCCTCTGATCTTGAGAAGCACTGCTGTAAATGATAGTGGGCTGAGGGCGAGGGGTAGGAAGTATTGAGTGCTCACGCAGGAGAGGGCTGATGGGTTTTCACCTGGCTGGTTTTGGAGGGAGGTAGAACTCTCAACCCAGTGGAGGAAGTCTTGGCTCTCATGGTCTTGACTGTCCTCAGGCTGTTATTAATAGTCTCATGGCACATGTTTGAGGTTTGGTCTCTGCCTGGACCTAGGAGTTGCTATTAGTCCCAGCAGCTATTATAAGAAATAGTTAATATTACTTCAGTTGTCTTTGCTACAGTTTTTAAAACATGATTTTCTATATACGAATTACATTTATTTTTATACTTTTTCTAAACATTTCTCATAATAGAGAGTAGAGATGGATTGTTATTATAAGAGGTAGTTACTTGGAATTCAGAATTTATTTTTCCTTAAAAAGTGTTATGATGGATTAAATGATATTTCAGAGAGGTTTCTTTGATCTTCCTGTCAGAAATAACATGTGAATTGAGGAGGAAGATATTTTATCAAAATAACTATTCACCTGTTGCAAAAGACAAAAGGAGGAGAAGGCTAACTATATAGGACATGTGAAAATTCATGATAAAGATCTGTCAAGGAGAAATCAGAGCTGTGTTGATGAAGCCTCAGGTCTGAGTTGTACCCACATTTAAGAGCTGTGGTTGTCTCAGTTCAGCATTTGGCCACAGGCCTGTAGTTTAAAATGCAGCTGGCCTTGCTTGGGCCTGTAAGGAGAGAAGCCCTAGCAGCTCTGGCAGTTTCAGGGACAGCTAGGATTATGAAAAGGACTGTGAATTGGAGGTGAGATTTGTGTACTAGTCCTGATTGACTCAATACATTTGCTGCATGGATAACTTCAACAAATATTTGCATGCGTAGTTTGTCCCAAGACACATTTCATAAGCCAGGAAATTTAGGCCTGGAAGTTTGATAACTTCCTCCAAATCAAAGTTAATGGAGAAGCCAGGAAGTGAATCCAGGTCTGTGAAGCCAGGTCTGTCCAAGCTGCCCACCATATGAGTGCATGGGCTCGGTTTCCAGTGGTCCGATGAATGGTCTCTTGTGTCTGTGTCACTCTCCCTCCAAAACAACAAAAGAGAGCTCCCAGAATATTTGTCTAATAAATGTGTGCAGTGGTGGGATGACGGGTCTTCTTAAACCCCTGTCAACAAGTGATTAATTCTCATTTAACATTTTAGCAAGGACTAACTTCAGTGGGAAAGACCCTTGAGGAAAGGAATGGAGGAAATGGTACTTGCTCCCAGGACACCTGAGAACCTCGTCGATTTTGTTTATTTGGTCCTGATGCCTAGTTCAGTCTGTCCCAAATCTGGGCCATCAAATATCGGTACCATGAGTTGCTGACTTCTCTTCAGAGCATTTAAATGTTTAATTTGCCTGTGAAGCTTTCAATTTGAGTGAAAAAATTAAAGATTTATAAACAACTTTGAAAGGTTGCTGTCTTGCTCTAGATACTATTTGTGCTAAATTGAGTGTACTAATCAGAGCTCTAATGAATTCTGTGAACTGCTAATCTTAGATCAGTGAATAAACGGTATTAAAATTGGGTTGATTTTATTTCCCAGAAGAGAATATTTGGAGATGGGATTGCGGTTGCGGAGAAGTAGAAGAAAATCAGCAGATGGTTGTACAATCTGTTTCTAGTTCCCTTTCTGAGATGGTGTTTCCTAGGTCATTGCTCTTACTGCTAAAGGTTTCTTTCTTTCTCCCCTCCTCCCAACCTCCCTCCCCTCTTTTCTCTCCCTCCATTCTTTCCCTTCCAGCCCTCTCTCCCTCCTTTTCTAGTGAAACATTTTTTGTTGTTGCTTTACTTTTGCTGTTGGAGGATTATTCCTGGGATGGTAATATCCATGAATCAAAATTCCAGAGTATTAGTTAATTTCTTACCATTTCTGGATCTGGTTTATTTAGACAAACTAGTAGTCATTTCTTATAGGCATTTGATTAGATTCTGAAGAGCCAAATCAAGCTGTTTCCAGGCTTGGGGCCACATTTTATAGCAAGACTTGTTTCAGTTTTGAATGATTTGGTGCTTAAGCTAAAGCCATTAAAAGTCTGCTTCCAAGAAAACAAAACTGGCAGAACAATTTGTTCCATTTCATTTTTTCAGAATGCTTGATTTTTTTTAGGGGTTGGTATTAAGCAACAGGACCAACTAAGAAAGGAATCCTCTAAGTGGGAGAAAGGCTGTCAGATTGTCAGGAGTGCATTTCAGCCTGAGTTATTAGCAGCATTTGGCTACGAGGAAAAGGCCTCTAAAAATAACTGGTGAGCAGAGTTTGCAGTCAGGTCCAATTTCAGTTCTAGAGGCTGTGGTCATGCATGGGTTGGAGAGTCTAAAGCTCGAATAGAAAAGGGTATGCGGCGTGCCCAATACCTACCTGTAGAACTTTGATTTTTTTTTCCCCCTTAGTATATATTCTTCATGGATTGAAGAAATCAAAATGGCTGAAGATAAAGGTATATTTTTGTTGTTTGAGTGAGTTAAAAGTGGTTTTGAATCTAGCTGACAATTTTTCGCTTTATTTTCAGTTGTGTTCTGTTAAAACATTTTTGGCTAAGTGCTTTGTGTCTTCTACATTTTCTATTTTGAACTCGTAGAGACACCAACTTTTCACAGTAGTTGAATTTTTCATGGAATAATCTGTCTTTAATCCAAATATGTTTTGGTATCTTAACTTTATCTTTTATCTTGACTTAACTTTATCTCTTACCTTTTATCTTGACTATCTTTTAGTGTACTGTGCTACCAGAGGCCACATTTTACAAACTTCAAAAATGTACCAGCAGTCTTCCGTAGTCTTTGAAGTTAATTACAGTGAATTTAAAGACTTGTGTGCATTCATATAAAATTATAGGAAATTTGAGGGGTATGTAAGTCCAGCCTGCTACTAAAGAGCAGACTTAATTGGTTCAAGCAAAGACTTACTATATATGGAAACTGACCTACTTTTTTGTGAAGCAGGCAATAAATGTAAAGAAAAGATACCAGATTTTTATTTGTTTTTTAATTGATTCATTAACCTTCAAGTGTTCTTTAATGATGTGTTGGATTTAAGTTTTTGCCTTACTTTGTAAGTTGAGATTGTCTTTCCATTAATGGAAAGCAGACTGCATTTGCTCATTATGTTGAAAATTTATATAAGAAAAAAATAGATGTGTGAAGACTTCTCTGTGCTGTCTAAGCAGCAACTGAAAGGGTTCTACAATTAGGATAGAGAATATGAGCATCTCCACTTTCAATACTGTTTTGAATAATTGGTTAGACTGGGTCACTTGACTAGTCTGATAAAGTGCTTCATGTAGCCATGAAGAAGATGGGATATATTATCTGACTTTTAGTTCTTTTAGAAGACATTTTTTTCCTTTCAGGGATTATGTAATCTGCATAGTTAGGTGAATTCAACTGTTACTTCTAACCCACTTTTGACAGTTCTTGGTTCCCCAAGGGTAACATTTTGTAGCATGGAAAAATAGTTTGATTCGTTGCTTGACAGTTTGTATGGTTTTTTTTGTTGTTGTTGTTGGTTTTTTTGTTTTGGTTGCTGGCCAGTATGGAGATCCAAACCCTTGACATTGGTGTTATCAACACCACACTCTAAAGTTTTTATGTTTTTTTAAACTTTTAATGTACAGAGTTTGTGTATAAATATGGAATTCCCAGAATAATGCTAACTAAAACTTGATTCATTTGTAATTCAGTTAGTCGTAGCCAGTTAAGTAATTGACTACTGTTCTGGTGCTGGGGGGTACAGCTTCTATTTTCCCTTTCCTCAACCAAATAAATAAAATTGCCTATTGTTCCTAGCTGAGTCTTCATTTTGGAGAATCTTCATCTCCGACTATTTGGAGCATTGCTTGCCGTAGTAATTTTCTGTGGTTGGTAGTATATGGGAACATTTTCTGATTTGGAGATCATGTACTTTTGATGCGACAACATAGAAAAAAATGAATCACATAGTTCTTGCCATATTCTGGACACCCAGTGAAAATTCTTTTTGACTAATCTGTGGGACTACAGGTTGAACATGGAGCCAGAAAGTGAAATGAAAACTCTTAGATTTGTTCTGGTCTTAGAAAATAGGGACAACTACTAGATATTCTTTCAGAATACCTTTGGAGCAAAATACTGGTTTCAGGTTTGCTTAGGGAGTTTTAAACCCTCTTGAAAGGTTTGTCTTACTCGACTTCGTTCACTGTAATTGGATAGGTACTGATCTGCCCTTTGAGACTAGACACACCATATTTACAAAGTGATGTATATTATTCGTTTAAAAAGTTCCCCTAAAAAAGATGTCCTAGGAAAGACTTGCTTCAATAATTTAGTTTTTTGTTCCTTTATGGAATAGTAAATATTAATGGTAATAATGTTAATAATACTGGAGGAACGTCTCATTTATTTGACATTGTAAAGGGATACATAAAATACTGCTAATAATATTCTAGCTAAGTAACATTTAGCTTTTAACATGACAAATCTGTTTAATAAAAACTGTTCTGAATGAAAATCTTCCTGAGGTTTATTATATATTTCTTACATTCTTAAATAGATTAAAATAACATAATAACAGAATCAATGTGAATATCAGTTATTACCTTGTTCTAGGGATGATTTAAGGACTGGGAGGGGGGTGCCTGCAAGCCTCAGTCACACTGGCCTCCCTCCACATGCTTTTCCAGTTCTCTTGTCTGCTCCTGCTGCCGGTCCCCAGGCCCCTGACAGACCTGCCTGCCCTCAGTACTTTGTTGTTGTAACCCTTCTGGGTTATGCTGTCTCTAAAGTCTGCTCTGTAGTTCTGTGCAGTGAGTTAGGAAACCTGATTGAAGTTAGAATCATGTCTGAAATAAACATAAACATTCTTAGTAAAGGCGTACTCTTTACTGCTTGCTTGGCTTTCTTTCTCCTCCATGCTCCTGATCCCTCTCTGTTTTGGCACATGCACTTATATAATATTTTCCTTCCTCTTTTTCCTTGTATTTGGTGTTGCAGGCCAATGAGTATCACTGAATTAACTTGGATAAATGTTTATAGACTTTAATTTTGAGAATCTTAGAAATTTTCTTCCTCATTTCTGCTTTAAGAAAGAGATAGAAATATAGAAAGAATTGAACTTTGAATTCAAGTTATTATTTTGTTTTATTTGCTCTTTCATGATAGGCTTATTTTAAATTACATCATCTTGGGTATACTTTTACTGACGTACACATTTTGGAAATTCAGTTATTAGGATAAAGTTGTATCATGTCTGGCACACATATGCTGAATAAATATGTTGAATGAATAAATGAATGAAAGGATGAACTATGTATATTTAGCTTTGCTACTTTCCAGTTAATGAGGAACAATAGAAGAAACTGGTGTCAACTCCAGAATGTCCAAGAGGAGATAAGACAAAAGAACCCAGTAATACTGCAGTTTTGGCATTCATTTTTCATAAAAATTTAAATTTGATTTTTAGAGGCAATAAGTAGCCAGGAGAGGAAATTCATAGTCATTAAGGATTATAATTCCATATTTGGAGGTAAATGGTTATTTTGCAAGAGCTTATTCTTATAGTTTATGTTGTATACAGATGAGTATGTTTGAATATATCTACATGTTATGTAGAAGTGGGTTTTTTTTTTTTATACAGTCTTAGAAAAAATGTCTTCATGTTCATAAAATAAATTAAACATACACCACTGCTACTGAGTCTGTGGAGCTCCTCTACCCCCACAGAAGCCTACCCACTTTTTTTCTTTTTAAGTTTATTTATTTGATATACCTTTCCTTTTCTCAGGTGCCATTTTGGGATATGATATATTTAATTTATTTATGTATTAATATTTATATAATATGTACTATATTTCTTTTTAAGGGAAATTTGAATATTATGGTCTATCCTTTTAAGGACAATGTTTGTCTATTTTCTATTACTATCACATGACTTTCATTGTTTTTATTTATTTGGGGCTTATATACCTTTCCTTTTCTCAGGTGCCATTTTGGGATATGATATATCTAATTTATTTATGTATTAATATTTATATAATATGTACTATATTTCTTTTTAAGGGAAATTTGAATATTATGGTCTATCCTTTTAAGGTCAATGTTTGTCTATTTTCTATTACTATCACATGACTTTCATTGTTTTTATTTATTTGGGGCTGTAAGAAGAATATTTTCAGAAGAATATAAAGTACATTAGACATATTACATGTGGTAAATGACACTTGGTGACAGCGGTTTACGAAGCTGCTTCCTGCATTGAGACCAGTTGTGAAGGATCCTTATTCCGGTGCTTCCTTAGGCTCTGGGGTCTTGCAGAGGAGTAGGACTGAATTGTCATGGTGCTTTGTTCCTCTGCCGCCCTGAACTCTATTTCCTATAAATAGTTTTCTTCTTTCTTCTCTCTCCTGGCTAAGAATATGGAGTTTAGGGAAGAGATATTTTCTTCTGTGGCAGTTAACAGAATTTTTAAGATTCTACAAACTAACAAGGATTTGCTGCATTTCTATATGTTTTCATTAAGTTGTTGACATGTTGTGAACTTTGAAGGTAGTTATATTGAGGTAGTTTTCATGAAGAACTTGGAAGAAATGTACATGTTTATCAACCCTTATATTTTAAGAAATCATTATTTAGCCCATCATTAATTTATTTCTCCCATTACTTCAATGTTAGAGTTTTATATACAGAGTGTTTAAGCAAAAACTTTTCTGTTTTCAGGATCTTTATTTTATGCACCATGTTGTGAGAATTTAAGTGAAAATTATTTTTGAAATGATCTAACCTTACATAATGACATTTTACATTTATTTCTAAACAGAGACAAGGCATGGAGGACACAAGAATGAGAGGAAAGGAGGACTTTCTGGAAGTTCATTTTTCACATGGTTTATGGTCATTGCATTGCTGGGAGTCTGGACGTCAGTGGCTGTCGTTTGGTTTGATCTTGTTGATTATGAGGAAGTTCTAGGTAAGAATTCTGATATTGTTTAAGTGAATTTGTAAGAGGGTAAGTGACATCCCTTAGTGATCTTAAAGATTTTTATCATCTTTTTGGTGCTATTAATTTCTGTAGCCTTTCAGTGGTTCTCAATCGTGCAGGAACAAAATGGGATTTTATCAGTGTTAGCAAACAGTAGTGGCTTTTGAACTTCTTTGAACATGACCTGTAGTAAGAAAAATAATAAAAATAATAAGACTTTATGTTGTATATATATCACACAGAGAGGTTTCATCAAACAGTATTCAGTCTTACTATATGCATTACTCAGTAATTTCTATTCGATTTTGTTCTATTATAAATTTAAAAAATTTTTGATCACAAGCCACTGAATTTATTTAAGGACCCACTAATGGATTATAACCACACAATTTGCAAAACCCCTTGTGAAAGAGGGTTTTTAAAGCACATCCCTCAAAAAAAAAAAAAAAAAAAAAAAAAAAAAAAAAAAAAAAAAAAAAAGCACATCCCTCTGTGTCTGTTGGGTTGGGGTGTGTGTGGAAGGGGGAGGGGGTTGTAAATGCTGAGAATAATGAGTCTGTGTGTTTGTGTGTATATACCAAGATACTTCAGAAAGTTCATGGAGAAATAGAATTAAAAGATAATACAAATTTTCCCATGAACTTTCTGAAGACCCTTCGTAGGTGTGGTCTGTGTTCTGCTCCGAGGAAGTTGCTGTCATACTTCTGATAGTGTCCTTATTTTTCCTCCTTTTTGTCATGCTCTTTCCATAATCACTGCAGTTTTTCATGATTTTTACTTTATCATTTTTGAAGTCACATTCCACCCCCCCCTTTTTTGGTCCCTTCTTTCACCCCCAAATTTTATTTTTAATTGAGGTAAAATTTATATAATATACAATTCAATATTGTAAATATTTGCAAATGTGCAATTCAGTGGTTTCTAGTGTATTCATCATTTTGTGCAACCATCATTATTATCTAATTGCACAATATTTCTGTTACTCCCTCCCTCCAAAACACGCAGTCCTCCCCTCCGTTCCTCTCTTGCAAACACTAATCTACTTTCAGAGTCTGTGGTTTTGCCTATTCTGGACATTTTATATAAATAAAATCACACAATACATAGCCTTTGGTGTCTGCCTCATTGCACTTAGCGTAATGTTTTTAAGGTTCAGTACTTCACTGTGTTTTATGGCTGAATGATATTTAATCATATAGATTTCATTTTTATTCCTTTAAGGAAAGTGCCTCTGCATACATTGAAAGACTAATAGAGGGGGAATTTTAGTTTGGAGACAAACTTCTGCGTATATCTGTGCTTTTGCTGACTTACAGTGATATGTTGCTATGGGATGTATGTTAAACAAAGAAAGAGATTTAAAATATTTGTACCTTTAAGAACAGGTAACAATCTTTGTGTTTTTACATGCACGCAGCCAAAGCAAAGGACTTCCGTTATAACTTATCAGAGGTACTTCAAGGTAGGCTATTGGAGATACATTTTAAGTCTACTTGTGTTGGTCTCTCGATCCTCATCCTTATTCTACTAATTTAATTATCATCTGCGTCAGAGAATGTAAGTGGTAGGACCAGTTTCCCCTTATAAGTTTGTCAGGAACGATAGTATTTTCTATCTTTTCAGCATTATTTGAGCTCTTTACTGTGTATAGCCTTTACCTGCAGATTAGTGCTTTTTGTTTTCTTAGCAACAGAAATGATAACTTCTTCATCTCTCTGTTATTATTATCATTTTTAAGTGTGTATGTTCTTGCTAAATCAGACTTCTACATACAAATTAACTATTTTGCTAAGTACAACAAGGGCTCTGAGAAGGTAAAAATTGGCCATAGCTATTCTGGGCCAAAATTTCTGCCTGCTATTATGCAGTCTTTTAATGTACTTTATAATCAGACTTCTACATACAAATTAACTATTTTGCTAAGTACAACAAGGGCTCTGAGAAGGTAAAAATTTGCCATAGCTATTCTGGGCCAAAATTTCTGCCTGCTATTATGCAGTCTTTTAATGTACTTTATATTAAAGAAGTGGTAACAGTGCTGCCAACTGTTTTTTCAGTACTCATGCTGTGTTTGTGAATGCTGTTTAAAAGATTGCTGTACATTATTGTTTCTTCATAGTCATTGTCCTATGATGAATTGCAAGTCATACTTAATTTAGGATGCTTTTTAGGGGATTGAATGTATTTGACTCACTTGAAATGCTAAGCATAACAGTGCTCCTGATGATAAAGCATTAAAGCCATAAAATCATGTTTACTATTTTTTAGGATAAAGGCCTTGGTATTGTCTTCTCAGCATAGCTATTTTAAGCCTTTGTTCCCCTTAGTAGTAAATGGCCAGTGCTAAATTTTTAAAGTGGCATAACCTTAAATTTTCCTTTGCAATTTTAGGACGCCTCCAGTTTCACACACTTTATTTGCAGAATGGCCTTTTTTTTTTTTAAAGGTTGATTTACAATATTTCTTTTGTAAATCTTTGTTGTAAAATATAAAATAACTGTCATATTTTTAGTACTTATACTCTGTGTTCATTTATTTACTTTTAATCTTTATTTGAGGCTTGGTTGGTTGTTTCTTTTACTTCAGATATTGATCATGTGATGAAATTTCGTATTTTGAAAACATTAAATTTCATGTAATTGTTAGACATGAGTCAATATGGTATCTTATGTTAAAAAATTTACATAAAATATTTTCAGCATCATAATAAAACATTATTCTAAAGTGATTAGATCAGGGTATTATTAAACCTTAAGAAAATGTTATCTCAGTTGTATTTCTTAGAATTTGTTATGTGAACATTTCCTAAATCTCTAAGTGAATTGCCCATTATTTTTAGGTAAGATACTTATTTGGCACTGCTGGGATTAAAAGAGCAAAGAATTGCATTGATTGGTAACATTTATGGCTGATGTGTAGGGCTGCAGTAAGTGTGAAAACACCTTATTAAATTTGTTTTCCCTGTTGTTTCCATATCCATCATTCCTCCTCTTGTAGGAAAACTAGGAGTCTATGATGCTGACGGTGATGGAGATTTTGACGTGGATGATGCCAAAGTTTTGTTAGGCAAGTACCCATTTTATTTTTTTGTTAGTGGTGGTAAGATCCTGGAAACTAAAGGATGTTTTTGCTTTAATAGTATCTGTGTTAATAGTATACATTTTATGAAAGATATTTAACCCTTAAGTCATATATTTCATTCCTGTTGAGACATTAAATGGCTTAATTATTTGTCCATAGACTCTCACACTTCAATTTATAAATGAATGAGTAAATAGCTTTTACACATATATTTTTAATAAGTATATAATTTCACGTCTGTTTTTCAAATTTAAAACACTTTTTATTCTAAACTTAACATTTGAACATATAGATAATGTCCTAGTCTGTTTTCAAATATTATAGCTATTCTTTAGCATTGTTTGACATAATTTACTTCCATTTGAAAATGTAAATTTCTAGATGCTTACATAAATTCATTTTGAAATAAAATTGTGGCAGTGAACATTTTAAAATGTCCTATGCATATTTTAAAGGTAATATTAAAAACAAGAACTAGTGGTCTTCCAGGTTTCCCTGTTTTGGAAGTTTTGGACCCTTTCTGTAATCAGAATTACCTGTCTCTATCATTGAGATATTTCTTGTAATAAATAAAGATGTGGCATTCCCTGATTTGCTTTAAAATGCTGTCTTACTAGGAAGGACGGTGCTAATTTCAATATGGAAATTGTATATAGTCTGGCCTGGTGAGATAGTGTTTCTGCTTATTAAACAGTATCATTTCCTCTGCCTTAGCACAATATGTGTTAAAATTTTTGTATCAAAGTCTTTAGAAAAATGTTGGATATGGCATGGTGTAATATACCAAGCTTAATAGAATAATGACACAATAAATTCTTTCTAGAGATACTATTTTGTGTATTTATAGACATGAAAAAAAAATGGGAGGATACCACATCTGTAACCAATGAAACTACTTTCAGTAGATTAATCTCACCTCCTTTTAAAACAGTAAATTCCACATATTAAAAAAAAAAAACATTTTTGTTGTGATTAAATGTCATATAGTTTCTTAATTTTGACCTGTCTTCTTTTACATTTTCTTATGACTGCTGAGTGGCAATTAGCATTTGCTACTTAGCAGTGGAAACTTACAATGAAATTTCCATGAAATTTCTTTTTTCTGTCTTAACCTTAATGGAATTTTCTATATAATTCTGTCATTAGCTATTTAAATTTGGGTTACTGTAAATATATTAAATCCTCTGATAACTATAATCCTAAGTATATAAAAGAAATGAAATTATGTAGAACTTTATATATCAGAGCGATGGTATTTGCTTGCCTATAAATGGCTTATTACTCTATTGTATTTCTTTACTTTAAATGATGAGCTCTGAACAGCAAAGCCTTTTATTTTAAAGTCAACTTCATGTAGGCCAAGTTTTCTCATTTTTAGAAATAATATTATTTCTTATCTAATTTATTGATTATTTTTCCCTTAAAACCAGCTATTGGGTCTATCAGGAAATATCAACCATTCGAAATTAAAATGTGGTGCTTCTTCTGTAGAACACACCGGTTTCTATAGCACACTATTACATTAATAACTTGATTTTTAGAATTATATTTTAGATTTCAAAAATTTATTCCCTTAAAAATTTTTAACCAACCATTTGAAAATTGCTATTTGCGGGTAGGCACATACACGGTATGGGCCAATCATAACTTGTACCTTCTATAAGAATTATATACTTGGAGATAGAATCAAATTTGGTGAATCTGAGGGTTCATTTTGGTAATTTGACTGTTAAATGCACGAAGGCAGAGATAAAGAAACTTACTGTGTGCATGTACTAGTTCCCAGTTGGCTGTGGCTTTAGTAAAGATGAAACAAACCAAAGGTGAATTGTTAGGCTTACTTATCACCTCTAACTTTATGTTTCTTAGTGTTTGAATTCTCTGCACAAAATACAACTTTAACTTGAATTTTATGACAAAAGTAGCCTAGTTATGCCTCTGTTATAAGCAGGTGTTTACAAAGACAGAGCCTGGTGAAATTGTTGAGGGTACAGGACATTAATGGGTTCTGTATGATCAGGGAGAGATTCCGAGGGGAGCAAATACAATGTGCATTTATCCAAAAACAAGCCAGACTTCCTGGGTACATTCTCATTGGAGAGGCAGCTTCAGGTTAAGCTTAAACCTTAAGGGTTTAGGTTTTGGATTAAGGCAGAGGGAGTCCAAGGGGAGAGAGGAAGGTAGGAGATCAGAGATTAGGGGAGAGCTTGGCATGGTAGGTGTAGTAATAGTTGAGATAATGCTGAACTTTCACAGGCTTGGCATTTATTTTATAATTTGTTTTTTCTGAATTCTTAATCTGTGTGTGTCTAGATCTTGTCAATTTGGGGAAATGTGCACGTTCACATTTGCATTTCTTTCACATTTTTATGTTTGGCTTTTCTTGTGAAACATAAAGAGAGAACTAAATATGTGTAAGTAAATCCAAATCAATAGCCATCACTAATTTTATTATTTTATTATTTCTAGCGAAGGCCCTTCTAATACACTCTGAAAATATACTAAGCCTGTTCTCCATTTACGTAGCATCCTATTTTTGTGGCCATACTATCTAAAGTAAAAGTATTTTTGATTTTAGTTTGTTATTGAAAACTTCATTGTTCAGAAATGTATTCTTTGAAAACTTGTTTCGCAAATAAAATCAACAGGACAGTGACCCAAGGACCAAATGCTGAGAGTAACATCTTCTTACTGTGACACCACCTGAGGATTACACACTTGTCCTTCTGTCCTGGGACTAGCAGCTGGCCGGCAGCATATCAGGTAGCCTGGAGGACAAAGAAGAAGCCAGCCAGCCATTGCTAGACCCTTGACAGATGTTCAGTTCGTAGATTAATGGGCAAGAGAGTGGGCTGAGGGAGGAGAGGGCTGGGCCAATGGGCCAGGCACTGACACCTCCTCTTTGGTTGGGGTCTCCTCTTAGAGGTTAAGGAGAAGTGCAACCCCAGAATATTTCTTTTTCTCTTTGGACTAGTGCTTTTGTCTGGAGAACCATAGGAAGGCCGTGTGGTTGGGTAAACAGTTTTGTTCAAATACTTTTGCATATTTGTTGCATACTTCAGTCTGCCATACTGAAGGGCAGAAAGGTTTTATATTTTATATTCAGTACTTGGAAGTACTTACAATATGTTGGAAAACGGAGAAAAGTAAAAATTTGTGCTAAGTATGCAGCTTAAGGCAGGAAGAAGAAACAACGTTATTCCCACTGACACTTGGGTGAGAGTACAGATCTCCTCTGTTCATAGCATTTGTCCACTGTTACGTCAGTGAAAACGCTGAATTTAGTTCTGGGCTTGTCAAAGAATAATTTAAATACCAGCTGCAATTTGTGCTTCCCCTGTCAGCTACATGAAAAATGGCATGATATTGACTAATGTGAAGAAAATTCACTGTAATCTTTAAAATTCAAATTAGTTGTCTTATTATTATTATCCCTTACATGCCAATTTTGATTGCTGGTAGTTATGCTACGTGGAGAAATTGTGTATTACCAAAGCTTTAGATTACTGAATAAAGTGGTTACAATAAGAAGAGCTCCCTGGTCATGAATGTTCACATTGCTTATGTACAAGAGCCTCCACCCTGTTTTTCCTCCTCAAAATTATGGGGCCTTGCTGCTTATAGTTTAGCAGTATTGGTAGATTTCATACCTACTGGAGCCAAGAAACCTTTTCCACTCAAAACCAGGCTTTCACAGTACAAAAAAACAATAATAAAAATAAAGTATACTTTGTTCTTTCCATCATGAGGACTTGTTTTGGGTTCAATACTTAAAAACAAAAGGAATCAGAAGGCTTTGCAATAGAAGCTAATTTCATAGGCTCATGGGGAGAGGAGTTTGGAATGTTCCTATTGCAAATGACTGTAAGGCCTTGATCAAATTTCGTATCAGTAGGCAGAGTGAATTATTATTAATAGCTGGCCCTTATTATTGGGCAGAATTACGGGACCTTGAGTCAGTTGCCAGAGTTCTTTTTTTTTTTTTTTTGTCTTTTTCATGACCGGTAAGGGGATCGCAACCCTTGGTGGGGGGTCGCCCGCACCGCGCTCAGCAAGTGACTGCTCCGGCCATTCCTATATAGGATCTGAACCCTCGACGGGAGCATTGCTGTGCTCCCAGCGCCGCACTCTCCCGAGTGCGCCACGGGGTTGGCCCAGTTGCCAGAGTTTTTTTTTTTTTTTTTGTCTTTTTCATGACCGGTAAGGGGATCGCAACCCTTGGTGTGGTGTCGCCCGCACCGCGCTCAGCAAGTGACTGCACCGGCCATTCCTATATAGGATCTGAACCCACGACGGGAGCATTGCTGTGCTCCCAGCGCCGCACTCTCCCGAGTGCGCCACGGGGTTGGCCCAGTTGCCAGAGTTTTATAGAACTACCATATTTAATAGTGTTAAAATTTAAGTGTTTAATTTTTTTAGCATTAAAGATATTTGAGTTACATAATTTGAGTGCATTTATACCCATCTGTGGGTGCTATAATCAGTAATCCTGCTAGTCGTACTGACTCTGTTTTCCTAAGTTAAGTCCAGGTACTAAGGGGAAAAGTTTGAGGAAATGAGCCATTCTATTTTCAATAAATATTTATTGATATATACATAAATGTTTGTGTAATCAACTCTCCATAGTTTCTGGTTGGTAAGTGAGCAAATCTGGAGGTTGTCAGAAGTATACAGTGTATCTTTTCCCCCTGAAACTGCTTTTACTCACTTCCCATTACTGTCAATGGATTCTTCCCATTACTGTCTATTGATTTTGGCTGATAGAATTGTGTCAGTTTTTCAAGTCAAGACTGTCTAATGAGAGAAAGGCAAACCTGGTTCGGGGTTGCTAGGAATGGTGAGAACTGGTCAAGTTGTGCTTTCCTTTTGTGTAAATGATTGAGAGTTGATTGTAGGGTGTGCATCTTAATTGATTTCTTTATTTTCCAAACTTTCTTTTCTGTAAACCTCTGTGACCGTGATGCACATCCTTTTTGAGATCGCTCTCCCTCCATTTCTTTTTTCCACCTAACTGCTCTCCTTATTTTCTCTTTCTCTCTTCCTTTATTCTTATGTAGGCCTGACCAAAGATGGCAGTAATGAAAATATTGATTCTCTTGAGGAAGTCCTTAATATTTTAGCAGAGGAAAGTTCAGATTGGTTTTATGGTTTCCTCTCATTTCTCTATGATATAATGACTCCTTTTGAAATGCTAGAAGAAGAAGAAGAAGGAAGCGAAACCGCAGATGGTGTTGATGGTACGTCACAGAATGAAGGGGTTCAGGGAAAGACCTGTGTCATTTTGGATTTACATAACCAGTAACTTTGGCTCAGGGACTGAAGTCATTGGCTTATGAACACCTGAAGCAATCTCCTTTTCCTTTTCTTTCCTTTGCTTGTCCAGGGCTTAATGTGCAGCGGGGCAGTTGTGATCTTACTGATAAAAGTCAACCATGTGATCTTGCCCAGTGTAGCTACTAGCTAGTCCCTCGCTCGGCTCCCCCGCTTCGAGTGAAAAGAGTGTCACTCCTCATTCTTGTAGTCTTCTACAAAGTGCATTGCAAATTATGTCCTTGGTGGTATAATTGGTTTCTGTATCATTTTCTTTCAACTTATGTATTCACCTAACTAAATTTGGAAATTTAACAGTAGCAAATTGTGTTGTGGTTAACCTTCGATGCTTGTCTTTCTAACACACTATTAAATTAAGATGATTCTAATATACTTAATTGTAAAAACATTTCTGGCATGATAAGTTAACTTCTCTGTTGATCTTTAACATGACTGATGTGTAAAATGATAGTTCTTTTAAAAAACTGATTTTTTTATTGTGACTTGTTTAGGTAAATTGACTTCTCACATGGGTTCATACAATTTTCAGTGTAAAATTCTGTATTTATGGTGCTTTTAAAATAATTTAAAAATAGCCCTATGTTTTTTTGCATTAGGGTAGTTAAATTACTGTATTCAGATAGTAATTTGTTTGAATATCTGTCCATGAAAGCAAAATTTATTTTTAATTTTATTTCCAAATATGCTACCAGAGAAAGTAGTTTGTATTTTTTTAAAAAGCAGGCTAATTGCACAAGAGGGAAAATGTGACTGTGTGTTATCTTAAATATTGTTGTACATATTAAAATATTCATTCTAAGTAACAGTCTTTTTTCTTTTTTTTCCTCACTAACTTATTAATTAGCTATCAGTTTTGGCTTATGAGTTTTAGGTTTGTAAATTAAATTTATTAAAGTGGTAATTTTTTTTAGGAGGGTAAATTTTTTTTTGTTAGAAAACTTTAAAAACAGCTTTGAATCAATTTCTTTAAAATAAGTTGGCTTTAGTAATAGCAAAAGCAGTTGCATTAGCTATATATAGAATGAATTTCTTAAAGTGAGATTTCACAAACCTGTTTACTCTGCAAACAAAGCTCTTTTAGGTTGAAATGGATGAGACTTAAGACCTTTTGGTGTCTGTAACTCTTTGAAGGAGTGGTGTTTTATGTTTATAAATCTCTTTGAGCTTCTCTAAAATTTTGTGTAGCTTTAGTTCTTCATAGAGTTTAAAATTTGAAAATGTTTACATTTTAAACATTTTATTTAATTATAGTGATTTGTACTTTTCAAATATTCATTCCTTGTTTTTCCATATTTAGTTACTTTCAATAAGTGAATTATTTATCCATTTGTTCTGAGGGGAATTAAACCTCTGTGACCGTGATGCACATCCTTTTTGAGATCGCTCTCCCTCCATTTCTTTTTTATATTATATAACTACTCTTGGATATGGATACACATGTCATACATTGGACAATGATCTCCTAAAGCTTAAATGGCTGCTAAAACTCTAGTTTGTAGTTTGTCTTTCCATAATTATTCAGGAAATAAGTTTCATTCTGGTAATGTTTCTGATTGTCAAAAGCTAATCATTTTGATATATTCAAGCTCTTCAGTCATCACTTAGTAGAATGTTTTGCAGCAAATGTTTTTTTTTTTTTAATGTTCTTTCCAAAAGTTTATTCAATGTCTGTCCATATTTATTATGTCTTCCACTTCGAGTTTTAGTACTGTAAAATATTAAAGTTTATTAGGTTAAATTCAAAAGCAGTCTTAGGCCCCACTCTAAATGAAATTCACTCAGCCAAATGTGTGAGAGATATTTTTTAAAGCAATCTTATTTGTTAATGTGTCATTACTAACTCTAGATGTTTGATCAGTTTATGAGAAGTAAATAATTGTGTGTTAAAAATGTTTAGAATCATTAATATCTCATCAGGCTTTTTTTTTTGTCATGGTACTAATACATATTTTATGTACAGAAATTAATTGTGCTTTATTTTTGTAAGCGATAAACAAGAATGTGAGATAATAATTTGCCATTTATTTTCAATTGCCTCTAATCAGCCCTTTTGAAAAGCCTCTGATGGAGGTGAAATACAGGTAGCTAAAGAACCCCTGACTTCTGTGACTTCCTTCAACCTGTGCCTAAGGCTTCTTGGGGGGTGGGGGGGGGGAAGTAAAGTTGTTTGCAAAACTGTAGTATGAAGTATCTTGAAATGGATCAAAATTACTTTGCTTAAGTTTTACTTATATATGTTATAATTCTTAACTCTGAGGATTTATTTTGTAACAGTCTGTTTCATAATATAAATATTTTCCTAGCTCATGTCTTTTAAACTTAAGAACTTTCTAAAAAAGGCAGTGTTGTATTCTGTACATTTGAGTATTTATTTATAGTTACAGAATTTTAAGTCATACTATATTTACTGTATGTTTTTTTAGTTTTGAACCATCAAAGAAATGCTGTGGAATATGCTCTGTATTGAGATGTAGTGTTGTTTCAGAGTTGCTGTTCTTGCTTTAGATACGCTCTCATGTGTCTGATTGATACACTCTCATGTGTCTGATTGATACGGCACTGGGTTCTCTGGCATTTGGCTCAAAAGCAAGCCAGGAGACTCTGGGGGTTCTTTCCTGCACTTTAGCTTCTTTCAGCCCTGATTTTCCTTGGGACATGAGTGGTGCATGTAAGTCAGTTGAAGCATTTTCTAGGTGCTGATCTTGCTAAATCCCCGAGGTCTGGCTATCACCTGCTGCCTGCGGGAATCCTGCAAATGCCTTGGTGCCAAGGACATAGTGGAATGCTGGGCGGTCCTGCTTTTTCATCTTGTACTTGATTCTTTAGTCTGGAAATTACCTCCCTGTCTTAAAGAGCTACATTTAGACATTTAAGAAAATCTCTTTTTATGTTTGAAAGATGTTTTATTTTTATGTACAGTTCGCTAGACAAAACAGTTTCCTGGTGTGTCCTGATGTTTGTAACTTTGGAGAATTATCAAATAGTAATAATAGCATAGCCAGTTATTCTTAATGTTATCACTTGGTAGTTACACCTTTTGGGAATTGATACTCAATGACCATTTCTTAATGAGACTTTGGGCTAATTACTTAAGTCTATAAAACATGTAAGAAGTTGGGTTGTGGAATCATCTTTGATCATAATGCATACATATTTGGAGCACTTACGAGAAACTCAATGATTGAGACTTTACTTTTATGAGTTGATTGATGGAACAAATATACCAAATTCTCTGCCTCTGTTATTTGTTGAGATAACCACGCAATACTTAAGAGTAGATATTAACTAGCTTGTAGACTCCTTTAAGCTTAGAAACCAGGTCTTAGGCTTTATTTGAATCCCTCTTCAAAGCTGAGCCCAATATATGATTTTCATTAAAATCGTATGAAAAATATCATACGCTGTTTTTATTCTCGATGAATGAGAACCTCAGGAGTTCCTCATTGCATAACAAAATACTGAGGTATTTTTGTTTGTTTGTTTTTCAACCAGCTTAAATAAGTGGTAAAAAGTATTGGACATATTTTTTGCAAGAGAAGTGACATTTTGAAGTTCATATAGCAAACTAACCTATGCTAACAAAGGTCTTTGGGTGATCTTTCCAGTATCTCACTTGTATTTCAATCTGCATTTTACCCTCATTTTACCCTGTCTCTGGATGTAACCCCTTCCTATTCGTTTGGTCTTTCAGTTCTCTATGTTCTTATCCTTCCTTCCCCACTTCTTATGGTGGGTTAGTAGCTTCCTCTTTTTCAAGAATGTTTATGACATTATCATTACACCTATTTAAAACTTAAAAGGAAATTGGTGTAGTGTCCTGACACGCATGTTACCAAGACTAGATATCTGTTCTGGAGCAGTAGTCTGCCCAGTCCACAGGACCATTACTAAGGCATTTGGGGCCGCTTTTTGCTATGTGTAATCAATGTTGAAATGATTATCATGTTCCAGTATGGGAAGGAGGAAGATGAGAAACTGAGGCTAAAAGTGATACTAGGGGACTATGGGAGTGATGGAAATGACCTGAGTTTGAAGTGATACCGAGCCTGCCAATTCTAGAGCCAACTGTCTGAAAGTCTGCAGTAGCTACTGTGTCTGTCTATAATGGAGCCAGCCAGCTTTCTAAAATCATGTGTATTGCATGTGGCTGAACCACAGGTCCAACCGTTGGCTTAAATGATTCAAACAATTAATTTCAGGCAGAACACTCCATTTTGGAAATGTGTGTGGCATAGCGGCTCTGAGGCAGTTGCAAAAATAGCCTAAATTACCTTAGGCAACTCACTTATGTTCTAAGGGAAGAATATAGACCTGCCTTTTTCAAAGTTCTGTATAGGAATTCCCAAATAGCCAGCAGAGCTGTTAGCAGTAATCACCTTAAAAGCCATCAGAATAGACATACAAGGGTGGAAATAAAGTGATACTGTGGTTACTTTTTTGCCATTCTCTTTTACTTTTACCACATCCTAAAGCTTCTTTCATGACTGTCTTATATTGGAATGTATTCTAATAATAAAAGCAACTTTTATTTAGAGGGATTACAGAATACCCAGGTGCTTCCTTTTCAGCTCTAATTGATAGAAATTTCTCCATACAACTTGGAGACTATTTTTAAAGAGCCATGTGTTGTCATGAATTTTATCGTTTGATGGAATTGGCTCCTTCTACCCTTCCCCCTCCCACACCTTATTATTTCCCAGGCATTGCCTACAGTAGTAAAGAGAGAAAAGGAGAAAAATAGGGTATACTTGCTTATATTTGACACCGTAGGGAGAATCCACATCAGCCATAGTTACAAATGATGAATTTAATTCAAGAATTAAGGGTAGAAAAGCAGTCTGTATTATATTATATACTTGCCTTGTGGTTTTCTCTGAGGCAGCTTCTCTGATGTTTTCGCACTTGTATTTTTTCTTCCTCTGCATCTTGTCACCAATCCTGGGTTACCACAGACTCCTTTCTCCTCCAATGTGCTTCACATTGTTGCTGGAAAAAATATCTACTGTGAATGTACCTGAATCGAACGTCTGTGGGGTGCTTACTGCTCTGACAGCTGTTCTCTTTAGTAGGTGTTCTAAGCCTTTTCCATGCCCTTCCATCTTCCAGGATCATTTCATTCCTTCGTAGAGGTGATTTTGCTTTCTGTTTTCTGAAGGCGTTCAGCTCTGGCTTGGGTTTCATTGGCATCCTCTCTCTTCAATTCACAACATTTTTTTTTTTTACTATCTCAGACTTTTTTCAGACATTGCATCTTCTGGTTTCCAAAAACACTTCAGCTCTGGCTTGGGTTTCATTGGCATCCTCTCTCTTCAATTCACAACATTTTTTTTTTTTTACTATCTCAGACTTTTTTCAGACATTGCATCTTCTGGTTTCCAAAAACACAAACACAGACGTAATCCTTCAAACCCTTATTCCTTTTCTGTCCCCTCAGAATCTTGGGAGGTTGTGTAGATGATAGTTTTCTTCTTAGGGGTAAGGGACGCTCCCATGAGCACTGTAGGTTTTGGTCACCTACCTTTGCACCTGTGTTTTCTCATCCTTTTGAGGGGACTGCCTCTTCTACTTGTGAAACTAATCTGAATAACCTTAGGGGACATTTAGTAACTACTGTAATTCAATGGTGTCCTTATCCTAAATCTTTTTTCATGCCTTCCTTCGTAAAACTGGGTGTTTGACTTTTAGAACACTATTTTCTTGAAGGCCCTCTTGTTTCATTGTTACTTGGGGGCTCCTTTGTTGACTTCCTGCTTTTGGTATTGTGTTTTCTTCATGTCTGTATGCTCTCAGAGACTGAACATGA